AGGAAACTATGTTTTAAGACATATGGCTTTGCAGATTGAAAACTTACTGAAGATGATGTGCCAGTAAAAACCGAGATTGTCATTTAGAAGTACAGAAGTCTTAAATCAAGACAGACATGGGTGTCTGTGCTGCAAAATAAGGTAACAGATTCAATTAAGAAAAGAAAAAAAGCAAAGCAATTTCACACCTCAGAAATAAAACAGCCCACAGTAAATCTGATGTGCCACAAAAAAGGTACGAATGAGACTGTGCAATTTTTGCCCTTACTTTTAACATGTTCAGAAGCTTTAATTTAAAATGTGGCTATTCAAGATCCATTTACAAATAAAACAGGGAGTGCAAAGAGAAGTCCACAAATTTCACTGTTCACAAACTTTTTATTCCATGCTAAGAAATGGATCTTTAAATCTGAATACTGTGTCAACTATGCAAATAAAAAAATGCTATTCAGGAATTCTCTAGATTTCATGGCTGAAGCGAACTAAATTATTAACAAATGTGACAAATAAACATAATTGAAATTACTTATCTCCTGAAGATAAAAGAATACATAAACACTAGTGGTTTGTTCTTTAGCAGCTATTCTTCAATATAAAGAAATTTCCAAAGCTCCATCTTGTTCTGATAGGGTGTTATGTAAAAGCATAAAGCAAGCACGAGTTCATAGCTCTGAAAGTAATGCCTTTTATCTATTCCCATGGAATAGAAAAAGAAATGCAAAGAGAACAGTAACACTAATCAATACAGCCAATTCTCAGCTATAAAACACTATTTTTCAATGTAGTCACCACCATTAGCTATGCATTTTTCCTAGTGATGAAAAAGAACCTGCATTCCATGTTCATAAAAATCTGCAAGGCCATTTGGAAGATGGTGTGTATTTCATGTCACTGTCACCACTGCTGAAACACACCACCCACCACCTCACATCCGCTGCTTGATCTCCATAAATGTTCAGAAAGTGTGGATGAATGTCAAAGGAGACAGTTTTTTCCACAAAGAGGAGTTGAATTCCACCCTTTGCTTCATATCCACTTCCATGACAGACACCATTTTGTCAGACTGCCTCTCTACTGCTATCTGTTGCACAGCAACAAAATATAAGGGAATATTCACAGAAAGGTTCAGCCTCTACTGCCACCGCACCAGTCTTTGATGTTATGTGCCAACATACTAACATAGAATCATATCACAGAATCATAGAAAAGGCCCTCAGAGATCATCTAGTTTCAACCCCTCATGCCATGAGCAGGGTCATCAACCACTAGACCAGGCCTTTCTGCCCAGAACCACATCCAGCTTTGCCTTGAAATAGGAGGCATTACTTTTGGAGTAGTCCTGATATATTTTATATATATAAATTGAAAATTACAGTGTAATTTAGAACTTATTAAGTAATCAAGCCTGATACTAATCAAGGAAATTGCCTTTGAGTAAGTAAGATTAAAGAATTTATGGAGATTAAATCAAGCAGATCATTTTCATGAAAATACATTGATTTCCATTAAAATGCTATTGTGAAGAAAACTATGATAAAGAATGACTTTCTAAACAAATCTGATTGGTGGATGAAAGCTTTATGATGTTTGTAAAGAATGATACAGTCTAAGGGAGTAATGCTAAGGTTCAAGTACCTTAAATTATCTCAGTAAGAGGTTGAGAGCTAAAGAGATGGATTTTTTTCTAACATTTCTAGTCATGTCTAACTGCATTTTTTGTATAGAAATATCATAAGCTCAGTAAAAAAAATATTTGATTTGATAACTATTGGCTATATATAAGAGAGAAATGATGAGCTAAATAATATTTTCTTGCTTGCAGCGTAAATATCTTTTTAAATATAAAGAAGGCATAAGGTATATCATCTCAATCATTTTTTTTTTTTTACTTTGGGCACATGAATACCTACTTTTCTTCACTTTCTACCATATTAAAAAAAAAATCTTTTGTTTTGAAAATTAGCCTCATAAAACTGTCAACTCAGACTGTCAGTTATAATTCCCTATTCACTGAAATTATTTCCTATTCATCAAAATAGTATTAAAATGTTTTAATAACAGTTTTTAATGCTGAATATCCAGCAAGAAACTCACTATTTCTAAAAATTGAAAAAAAAAATGTGGAAAGATATAATATTATTTCACTTTTTAAAACCTTTAGAATTGAAATGCTATTCAATCTTTTCCTCCCTTTTGTCCACAAATTTTCTCCTTATGAATCCATCAGAGACACTCACGTTCTAACACTTCCACTATTTATATGAGAAATAATTTAAGTAAATATTTTAGACAATTGGCTAAGAAGAATTCACTTCATCTCTTGTGTTTTTGTAGAGAAAATTTGCTTTTCCTTACGAAGCAGAAACACAAAATTTGAAATCTTCATTCATTAATCCATTATTTGGCCTTCATTCCAGAAGCTGCTTAATCTGTTTACTTTATATAGCTTTCAGAGAAATGTAAATTTCTACAAGCCAACTGGCAAGATATGTCACTATAAAGCCACAATTTGAAAACTTAAAGAAAACAGCTTGAAAAGATTGAAAAGAAAGGGCTTTTAGGTTCTCATGAGAGCATAACAGCCTTTTTTTAAAAAAAACAAGGATTTACTCATCCTTTTTTAAAAGACAGCTTCTCCTAAAATGCACTGTATAAAACAGAATGAGTTTATTGACAACTCTATCTTTACCATACTTTCAGAACTGTTCTCATTAAAGTCCATACTATTTCCTTGCAGTCTGCAGGAAAAAATAAAAAAAATTGTCACCTCAGTGACTATGCATCCATTCTTTGATCACCATTTCCTTGCTCCTTATTCACGTCACAAAGTTCCTGTTTTCTGATCTTCCATCCACCTGGCCCAGCACTCTGGAAGTTCTTCCTGGTTATGTGTGAGTGCAAAATAATCTTTTTTTTTTCACTTATGTATAGTCAATCTGATCTAGAGTGCTGCGGTCAAGGTAGGCAGTAATACCCTACACCAAATTCCTCATTCACATGCTTTAAAAGAAAAGATTAATTAAAACAGATATCACAGAACCACAGAATTTGGAGTTGAAAGAAATCCTTACAGGTCATCTAGTTCAGTTCCCCTGTAATGAATAGGGACACATACAGGTACAACAGGTTGGTCAGAGCCCCGTCCAGCCTGTCCTTGAATGTCTTCAATGACAGGGCACCCACCACCTCTCTGGGCAACTTGTTTTAGTGCCTCACCACCCTTAATGTAAAAAACTTCTTCCTTACATCCTAAATTTTCCCTCTTTCAGTTTGACATTATTTCCCCTTATCCTATCTCAACAAATCCTCTTGAAGAATCTGTTCCCATATGAACTCACTAAATGTAATAACACCATGCCTATGAAAATATCATGCCCTGTTAGGATAGACTTTTATGACAATCATTTTAGTGAGTTGGAAGTTAAATGACATACAGAATAAATATTGTTATATCACAACTGAATAGTTGTGCATTTTTGACTATCATGCATGCTTGAAAGTATAACTGCAGTTACCTTTGAGTTTATACATTAATTACAACTGACTTCCTTTCTTACCTATCATCTTTTGTTGGCAATCTTCCAATTGCACATAATTCAGATTTTAAATCTGAGCATTAAAAGCTATACTATACTTAAGAATATATCTAATATTTTGTACATTGGCACAGATCTTTGTTATTCATCAGCTATGTTTCAGTTGCCAGTCTTCAAGTGTACTACAGTGTTTAATTTCAACTGTTATTCAACTCCAGAAAACTTCAAAATGATTTTAAAGAATCATGAAAACTTTTTAAAAACCAAAATCTTTCCCTATTTTTTTTTAATTTTAATTGATTTTTCTCATTGCTCATCACATTATTTTCATTCCACAATAATAATAATAAAACACCAATGTAATACACAAATGTACTAAGAAAAAAAAATGCTAAAAAGGTTGAAATTATTTTTACAGACCCATACCTGTTCACTTTTTAATACAATATAATTCTATTAAAGTAGCTCAGATGCAATCTGCTCCAACAACTTATTTCCCACCACTGACATTAGAAGGTTAAACACACTAGAGTTGATCTGGAAGACTAGCTTTCTATGTCTAAAGACAGAGATAATTAAAACAAGTCACAGGCCAAGCTCCATGTGTATAAAACAGATATAACTATCTTAGCTGCAGAAGGAATAAAAAGACAGTTAAACCCATGAACTACAATGTGGTATTAGTTAAGAAAAATAAAGATGTAACTGCTGGACAAGTGAAGAAGATTTGCTAAAATCTGCTGTGTTACTTTAATAATAATTTCAGTATAGACCTTAAGGGACCATTATTTCTCAGAAATGATAGGTAATCTGTTCTTTATGTAAGCTTAATTTCATGAGCCAGATGTTTTTTTTAATTTTGTCAAAGTATGCAGAATTAAATGGCTACAGATATAATTTACTTTCTGAATAAGTAACATATTTTTGCTCCATTGATTCTGATTAATTTTTATGTCTTACAAGTTCTGCTAGGTGTAATTGGAAAAAAAATTAAAATATTGTCAGACAAAATTCATCACTGAACTTCTGTTCATACAATTCTATGTTCAAGTCTATCTTAAGGTACTGCAAAAATGAATAAAAGGTGGCAGACTGAGTGAGAAAAAAAATAACTTGATATTGCATTGAATTACAAATCTTTCCTAAACTAAAACAAAAGGAACAGTGATTTAAAAAAAAAAAAAAAAGTGACTTGCAGACACTACTTACTGTTATCAACTGTATGTGAACACAAATTTAATTAAGTCATATACTTTTCTGTCTCAGTATATAGTGCACTCATTACAGAAAGCAAGTTCTCATAATTAAAAGAAAGTTGAGAGGGTTTTAAAAGGGTCACTTGTAAAACAAAGTATGAGACAAGTACAGAAGAATTTCAAGCCCAAAATTAGCAAGATATTTTTACTTACAGAAGATAAAGAATATTCACATGATCACTATTTAGATATTCTAAAACTGCCTTACCATAGTGTAGTTGTGAGCCACCTTCATAAGCTCTGTGCATCCCTGCGCATCAGCAAAAGCTCGTATTCCCAAACAGTTGGATGGGTGCAAAAGCTTCATTAGAAAATGGCAGCAAACCTCTACTACTTGTGGGAGCTGGAGGAGGCAGGCAGCTGCTAGAAGATTTTCAATAGTGTCCTCTTTCAATTCCAGGCAGCCTGAGAAAAAAAATTGATAACATATGCATCCTTGTTTTATAAAAAAAAAAACAAAACAACAACAAAAAAGCAAAACTTTAAGAAGCATTGAAAGATTTTTTGTAAACAATTCTAGCTCTATATAAATAATTCTGCAGAAAAAGCAAGCAGAGAGAAGATTACTCTCTGACTGGACATCTCAATTACCTGAATATTTCAGATGTGTAAACATTAATTCAGCTATATAAAAGTGTTACAGATGAAGGTTGGAACATAAAGAAATAAGAGAAGGCTTGGCAACATTGCTTTGGTTTCCATAATGAGATTAAAATTTAAGAACATATACAATTATCAACTAGACTGTGTTTTATTTATTAGTTTATTTATTTGCATTAAAGTTGGTAATTAAACTTGCATTATCTTCGGTAGTACAGAGCAAAACTCAGAGCCATTTACCTCCTTGCAAAGCACTGAACAGTTGACTATCAAAGCATCACTATAAAAATATTCAAAGTGATTCTTACAGTTTTCAGACTTCTGGGTGTGACTTTGGGATAAATTTTATCTAAATAATATGCATCACTCCTCTAATCGCCTATAGTTCTCCTACAAAACTTCATACTTGCTAAAAGAGCATCTATGAATACACAATAGCAATCTTCCTTTAATTGTTACATTATACAAAGTTGTTTTTTGTTTTTGTTTTTGTTTTTTAAATAAAACTCCTGCTGATAAGCTTTTTAATAAATAAAAAGTGAAATAAAATGACACAAATTCAAAGAACCATCCTTTTCAATAAGAGCCCACAAACCTGCTGTTTTTTAAATGATTTTTTTTTTTTTATAGTATCTTACCCTAATAACACAATTGACTCCAAATAATTTGAATATCTATAAATTACATATCACAGAGATAAGTTGGAGTACAGGAAAATAAAGCAAGATACAAAAATGTGAAAGTGTAATATAAATTTTAAGAAACTAACACTTTTGGTTTCATTTTGCTGTGCTTGGAATATCATTTCAGACTACAAGAGGATTAAGATTAGATTGATCTTTCTGTTCAAAGTAATATAGATCAGCTGTTAGATAAGCTCACACTTTTCTTCATACAAATGTTTGTTGTCATATGAAGAGAAATCTACGCATCTTAATAGTTTACCACATGGGATTGAAGACTCCCAAAGTCCTCAACTTCACCACACAATGCCACAGAAAAGACACTTTATATTGTAATACCAAAACAATCCACTAACCATAGCACTGAATATTTTACCTTTTCTCCATCTTTTGTGTCACATGGAGCTTTCAATATAAGATAAAGCAATCTTGTAGCGTCATGCAAGTTTCTCTTTATGTTATCTGACTTTTTCTTACCACTGCTGTCCCGTCCCCCCCAGATCTATATAAGATGGTCAGAAGACACAGTAAGCAGCTGACATTCTGATAACCCATATATTTATCAGTGACCCTCCCATATTTGCTGCATGACTGCAGGTAATCACTGGACAAAACACATAATTCATTATGTAGACTATAGTCCCACTATGCCACATGGAAACTAACTATATATATATATATATATATATTTTTTTTTTTTTCAGGTTAAAAATGATTATCCAAAAAGCAAAAGGCAGAGAAATAAAAATATGTGAAACAGTTGTGAAAGTTAGACTGACTGAGAAGTGTGATGATGGAAACAAAATTAGAAAAAATATATCTCCTTTTCCTATTCACTATTTACTTTTAGCAACAATCTCAAAGAAGTCTCTGGCTTAACAAAGCCGATCTGGGTAACATTTACAGAAAGAAATAAGGATTGAAAGAATCATCACCCTTTCTAAGAAAGGTAATTCTACCACATCTAGGCTTCTTATCACTAAACGTAGCATTATAGAAGTGCGGGAGCAGGATTGTGGAACTCAGTGACGACTCAATACGAGTTAACAGCTAAGTCCAACTTTAATGAGTTAACACAGCAATATATACACCAACAAGTCCCCTTGGCCACGTACGATTGGTTGTACGAGTCCGCGCGTAACCTGTCACTGTGCGTATCCTATCACCGGGTGAAACCTGTCACCGTGACAATGCAGAATTCCCCGGAACCACCTATTTTTTTTCCCTCCAACCTCCTCATTGGACACAACTCAGCAACCACTTGTTTATCTTGAATCCTCACAAAGACACCATGTCCTTAACATTCCCGAGGTGGCCTCGCACTTCAAACCACCCCTCCACAGAGAAGAACTTAAACAAAACAGCTGAAGCTGTTTCAAACCTGAAGCTCTGTCAATCTCTTTACTTTCAAATTGTAAGTATTTTCTATTAAGTGTAAAGAAAACTTTACTACTAACTAGGATTAAAATAAGGATGTTAATCATAATCTATTTCATAAAATACATGTTTCTATATGTAATCAACATAGCTATTTTGAAGGATATTTTATGGAATAATGTGCAAAAGTCCCTGCCTCACATACCAAGAGAGGAAATATATAATGGGGTACACAGGTACATGAATATATTGTAAGCTGATAAACTGTAAACCAAATTCTGAAACACCAATGTACCACTTAATACTTCTTGGACAAAAGCTAGAAAATTACATTCAGCTAAAGAAAAAGTGGAGTTTGCTGTGCTTCTTCTTTCTTTCAGTCGTGCTTTATCCTAATTTATTATTGTTTGTAGGTTTTGTTTTGTTGTATTTTCTTCGTTGTTCTTTTTTCAGTAAACATGGTAAGAAGACAGATCCTGCTTTACAAAGCATTAACTTCAGTAGAATGCAGCATGTACCAAATCCATTATGATTTTCACTATGTCTTATTTACCTTCACCTTTAAGCATTACGACACCTTCACAAGTTTGATAACAAATATATTCACTTTCCTAGAAGGACAGTATGATGTTTCTACATGAAGTCTCATGTAATATTAAGTGGTTTAGCATGGTCAGAGTTCAAAAAAAATACAAAAAAAAAACACAGCAGTTAAGAGTCTTAGTACACAAACTCTTCAGACAGTTTCATATTGACAGACTATTCAAGCAACTAATAAAAAAAAAAAAAAAAATAGGCTATACAAGGGTGTATTAGTATTACTGCTATATCAGTTCATCTCCCCCTCACACTTCTATGGAATAAGCAGTTTCTACTACTTCAGCATGAGCAGAACAAATTAGCTTAAAATCCCATTTTGTGTTATTTTGATTAGTATGAAAATAAGAAGAAAAAACAATGATAAGGACTTTAATGCATTATAATTATTATTCCATATTAAAGTCCTATTTGTGACAAATTTTATCTGCATTATTTATGCAGAAATTAAGATGCTTATATTTAGAATGCATTCTTACAATGAATAAATAAAATTTATTACCTCACTATTAAATTTGAAGCAGAGATACCATACAATTTTCCCTGATGTTTTTATTCTTTTGCTACATCTTTTTTCTTTCTTCTACTCCTCAGGCTACATTTTTACAACTAATTTAATGTATAGGGAAATTTTGAACATCTTGTTAATATGAATCAGAGAACGAAAGAATCATAATTTCTTGAGTTGACAGGAAGCCTTAAAGGTCATCTAGTCCAACTCCCCTGCAATGAACATCCACAGCTACATCAGGCTGCTCTGAGCATGGTCCAGCCTGATCTTGAATATCTCCAAGGACAGAGCATCCACCACCTCTCTAGACAACCTGATCCCATGCCTCACCTCACTATAAAAAAACTTCTTCCTTACACCCAATCTAAATCTCTACTATTTTAGTTTGAAACCATTTCCCCTTGTCCTATCACCACAGACCCCGCTAAAGAATCTGTCTCTTTCTTTCTTAGAGTCTCTATTTAGATACTGAAAGGCTGCTATCAGGTCTCCCTGAGCCTTCCCTTATCTTCTCCAGGCTGAACAGCCCCAGATCTTCCAGCCTGTCCTCACAGGAGAGGTGTTCCATTCCATGGATCATTTTTGTGGTCCACCTCTGGATGTTTTCCAACAACCCTATTCTGAGTACTCCACATCTGGACACTATTCCAGGTTAAGTCTCACCAGCACAGAGTAAAGAGACAGGATCACTTCTGTTAACCTGCTGATCACACTTCTTTTGATGCAGCCCAAGGCATGGTTGGTTTTCTGGGCTAAGAGGGCACACTACCGGCTTGTGCCCAGTTTGCCATCCGCCAGTACCCTCAAGTCCTTTTTGGCAGGGCTGTTCTCTATCCTTATAACCCTCAGCTTGTTCTAATAGCAGGGGTTGCCACAGTTGCAAGATCCTGTACTTGGATTTGATGAACCTCATTAAGTTTACCTGGATCCACTGCTCAAGACTGTCTAGGTCTCTCTGGATGGCATCCTGTTCCTCAAGCATGTTGACCATACCACACAGCTTCATGTAATCCACAACCTTGCTGAGGGTGCACTTGATCCTACTGTCCATATCACTGATAAGAGATATTAAAGAGCATCAGTCCCGGTACCAACCCCTAAGGGACTTGTCTGCAGATTCCACACGGACATTGCCATCACTGCCCTTTAGGTACTACCTTGCAACTGGTTCCTCATCTATTGAACAGTCCAACCATCAAGTCCATTGCCCAGGAAACCTCCAATCCTGATGTCACCAATCAGTTCACTTGCACTGTAGAGCAACAGGTACTTGAAGTCCCAAAGCAGGATGAGATCCTGTGATCAGGATCCATCAACAGCTATAGTTGATAAAACTGCCAGTAAGGTTAGTGTGTTAGCCACAGATTCAGACTTCCAGAGCTAGTGATGAATATGTGCCAACGGAAATATGGTGGAATCAAGCTGTACGTACTGCTCACTTGCTCTGTATATGAGCAAGAAATTTTACTCTAGATCCATAACATATGGTAATATCATTTTATTTCATGTACACAGTAATTTAGTTTTCAGGAAAGCTGGGGGGAGGACTTTTTATAAGAGCAGGTAGCAACGGGATAAGGGGAAATGTTTTTAAACCGGAAGAGCGTAGATTCAGATTGGATATTAGGAAGAAATTC